CTATTTTCTGATGTTATTTTTCTATTTAATTAAGTTTTGATGAAAAATAAAAAACACACAATTACAGAATTCGAAAATACATTTTACATTCAATCAATTTCGAGAAAAGAATTCAGAGCAAGGCAATAAAGATATTTTACATGTTTTGAGAAAACCCTCTTCTCCATTGCCACAGAGATATTTTACCAAAATCCTCTTCTCCATTGCCTACTGTGCTTTCATTGTTAATCACACTTGTTCTTGGAGGTTGACATTCTACAGGCTTCTACAATTTGTTGTCTCCAGTATCCAGGTGTGACTTTTCTTATTTTATTACCTTCATCCTTTGTGGGCTTAAGTGGTTGATTATTAATTTTCCTATTTAGGGTTTAAGTAGTCACTGTCATTCTATTGTGTTTTTTTAGGGTTTCCTATGTGGAAATTGTTCATCCCTTTGATTTGTTCAGGGAGGTGTTTTCATCCTTTGATTTGTTCAGAGGAGGTGTTTTCATCCTTTGATTTGTTCAGAGGAGGTGTTTATCCCTAGTAGGATTCTAGGGAGGTGTTCGTCCTTAGTGGGATTCTAAGGAGGTGTGTTCATCCTTTGATTTGTTCAGAGGAGGTGTTCATCCCTAAGGAGGTGTTCATCCTTAGTAAGTTTCTAAGGAGGTGATTATCTTTTGAATTAGTTTACTTTTTGCTGTGTTGATTATAATTTGTGAATTGAATTAAAAAGATAGTGAATTGTGGTCACTCTTGTGTTAAGAGTTGACTGGGAACTAGATGTAGGGTTGACTATACCCGAACCAGTATAAACCACTGTGTTCTCTTCTCTTTCCCTTATCTCTTTTTCACTGCATTACTTTCCTTACACCCCTTATTTTTATCTCTATCTTTCTCTATCTTGTTGATATTTTATCTCTCTGATTATATCGCTTCCGCTTTATCTTTGTTCAGTTTGATAATTAAAATTGAATTAATAAATATTGGACATCTTAAAATAAATTTTTAATTTGACATCTATTTTAATTTGTACATCTATTTAACCCTCCCCCCCCCCACTAGATGCCATTTGTCTAACAATCCTCCCAGCTTCAATTTTAGCTTTTGAAACTTTTTAATATCTCTAGTCAAGCTCTTAGGATAACCACTAACTAGGTACCATAGTAATTCATTTTGCTATTCCTAATAAATGAATCTCATAACTTTTAGTATCCTTTTTATTTAATGGGGTCCTTAAGGGTTAAATTTTCTATCTTTTATGTTTAGGTACCCATTTATTTTTGCCTCTTGGAAATCATACTTCCTAATATTACAAAATTTATTACAAGGACCCTTATTTATAAAATAGAAACATGTGATAAATGGAGATGCATTATGTTTCCTGTATGTGAAGAAATTTTTGAAGACTTTTATTTTGTTTACAAATGTAGGTTTGTAACTAATACTAGCACGATCAAAAACACATTTTTGAGGCCTAAGAATAACATCCAAATTTGCCTTACCTTTTGAGAATTTGGTTAAAGTCTTCATCAAGAAATGTACCTTTTTTCTACAAGTCAACACAATTCTTACATTCTTTTGAAATATTAGTATAATCACAAGAAGCATTCTTATAAATCATATCTAAATTCTCCATATCATTTTTATATTCAATTAATTTTTTTCTAAAATAGTAACCAATTCTCAAGCCAATTATTCATCCCTTGTAATCAATTATTTGTAACTAATTTATTGGCCTCTTCATGTATTTCATTAAATGCTTGTAGTAATGTATTGTAATTCGTCTCATTTTTAGTAGGAACAAAACTTACCATCAAACACATTCACTTCTTCTTGATCTATTGAAGAGGTAGAGGATGAAGAAACATTGTCTTCCCAAGTAATGTATACTTTCCTTTCTATTTTTTTATTATTCTTCTCATGAGGCTTAGCCTTTTTTGGACAATCCATTAATATATGTCACTGTTTACCACAAGCATAACAAGTGTAGTTAGAAGAACCAGATTCAGTTTTTCGATTAACGTACCTACTTAATGGACCATTTTTGTCTCTCTTCTTCTTTCTCAAAAATCTGCTAAATTTTTAAACCAATAAACTCAAGTTCTCATTCTCACTATCAGTTTTAGAATTTTCTTATTCTTCTATAGTCTTGAGAGCAATATTCCTTCCTGTTTTCAGAGGCTTTCTGTTCATTCAACCTGTTGATCTCTAATTCATGTTCTCTAAGTTTTCCAAACAATGATGCAGAGGTTAAGGTTGAAAGATCTTTCGATTTTATGAGATTTTTGTGACTTTGGGCTGTCAGGACCTATCCAAACATTTTAATATTTTGATATTAAATTCCTCTTTATCAAAAGTTTTACCTAAACCGATGAGATGGTTGACAATGTTGGTGAATATCTTTTGTATATCGACTATACTCTCACCTTGTTGCGTTTTGAACAATTCATACTCACGAATAATAAAGCACTTACTTGATCTTTTAACATCCATGGACCTTTATGTGTTATTTTAAGAACATCCCACATTTCCTTGGCAGTTTGACATTGTGAAACTCTGAAAAACTCATCCAAATTTAGTGTAGAGCCGATAATAGTTTTAGCTGTACAATCTTATATTCTGCATCAATTAATTCAAACAATGATTTTTCAACAATCTTATCATTCACTTTATGAGTAGGAATATATGGACCATTTACAATAACATCCCAAATGCCTTTATCAATTGATTTTATGAAAACTTTCATTCTAATATTCCAAAATTGGTTATTAATTCCACAAAAGATAGGTGATCTATTAATTGAAACCCCTTCAGCCAAAGGTAATTTGTTCTCAGCCATTATCAATCACATTGGACCGAAACTTGAGCAAAATTCAAGAACCAGCTCTAATACCAATTGTTGAAAACAATAGCCAAGATCAAAAGGGGGGTGAATTCATCTATTAAAAATTTTCTTTAAAACTTTTCTGAATTATACCCATTCTCAAAGAACATAATCAATTATTTTCAAGAGTTAATTGATAATGCAAGATACAAAAGATAAATGCAAGAATGTAACATATAGAGAGAAAGAAGACATAAGATTTATACTAGTTCACTCAACCACCTGGGCTACAACCCTTCTCAACACAAACCAGTTGATTAAAACAAAGAGATAGAACTTTCTAAAAATATACATAAGTTGTTATACTTGACAAAAATACTCGTTATATTTTCAAAAGATGTCATCGAGACTAAATATAATTTCAAAATTGAGAGCCATATTTTTAAGAATGTCATTAATTGGTTAAAACAAAGACACATCAAATGTCATCGAAACTAAACATACTTTTAAAATTGAGAGTCATATTTTCAAGAATGTCATAGATTGGTTAAAATAGAGAGACACATAAAATGACATCTATACTTTTAAATTCGAGAGCCACATTTTCAAGAATGACATCTATTGCTTAAAATCGAGAGACACATAAAATGTCATCGAGACTGATTAAGACACATAAAATATCATCGAGACTAAACATACTTTTAAAATCGAGAGCCATATTTTCAAGAATGTCATAGATTGGTTAAAATCGAGAGACACATAAAATGTCATCTATACTTTTAAAATCGAGAGCCACATTTTCAAGAATGTCATTGATTGCTTAAAATTGAGAGACACATAAAATGTCATCGAGATTGATTAAAAATAGTGGTTTCATAGATTAAATCATTGAAAGTTAAATTAATTGATTATTTTGAATTTTTATAAATTAAAAACCAATCCTAAGAGTATTTAAAAGATTAAAAATAGTTTTATCAAATTAAAACAGTTATAAAACAAATTTTAACAAAGATTGAGGTATTCCTACTAACTTAGATTATGATTAGCTTAAAGAATGAATTAAAGCACACATACCTCTATACACTAGACTTACACACACATAGAATAAATCATAACACTTTTGACTTTATCAAATCCTTCCACTCAACTTGACTTCTTCAAATTCAACATGTTCATGTTCTCCAAAGTCTGCATAATTTTTCACTTTTTCTTATCTCAAATGAACCTACAAATACCATGATTAGTAAAAGGAGAGGAGAGTTTTTGTTTTTACAAGAGAAAATAATAATTGAATCAAATTGCAAAAAAAAGGGCAAGAAGCAATCAACAACAAAGGTAGAAAGTCAAGTTAAGATCCACAACAAAAATTTGTTTGATCGCAGTTCATGCTTGTATCAATATGTTTTACGGATAGTATAATATCAAATTTTATGGTAATTAAGTTAAAAAATGAAACAAAAAAATTAATCAACTCATAGTATTTCAATTTGTTACATAAACATGCTCAGACCCCTTCCTAGATATAGTTACCAGGGTACTAAATATAATTAATACAAATCTTTTAATCTTGCAATATTGATGACAACATCATAGTCTTTCAACAATACTACTGTTATCCTTCATTTCAATAAATCATCTTTATGACTGTATATATGAGAATGTTGTCTATGCAATGAACTTTATTATATGTTTCTGAACATGATGACGATTGCAAACCTTTTATACCCAAACTGAGTATTCTAAACTCTTCTTAGGGTTCTGAATGTTTTCTCATCAATTAAATATTGTTGGGGTCTGATTTAAAATTATTCATTGGGTTAAACTTGTATCATTCCATCTCTTTATTTTCAATTGATATAAAAATAAATAAATAAAGATACACTACAAAAAAAATGGGTATTATTTACAAAATATTACCTACGGATAAAACTCGATAGGTAAAATATACACTACATATGGATATTACTTATAGAATTCTATCTGTATGTATATTATCCATTACCTATAGAATTAACCTACGAATGAGATGATTATGCATTACCTACGAATGTAGGAGGTAGGTAATGCTTATTTACTACTTTACCTACTCATTTACCTACGAATGTATAATTAAAAAACAAAAAAACAAAATGTCACCTAGGTCTCACTGCCTCGCTACACCTCACCGCACCTCCATTCTCTTCATTCTTAGTTTTCACCCAGCCACATTACACTCACCCCGAGCCTCAAGCCCCTTAACCTCCATCCCACCACCCCAACCACCACGAGTCTTAGTTGCACCACCCCCATCGTAGTCGCGAGAACCACCATCCCACTCCCTCGCCTTCTCACACTCTAATCCCTAGCCACTACAAAGACTCCAATCGTGCCGCCCAAATCGTCACTTGAGGGCCACCTTTGCCAGTTTCACACCGCCTCTACAGTCGTAAACCACTGTCTCACCTCATCCATTCTTCCCTATTTTCCTCCAGTTCCATAGCCCAAGCCTCCCAGCTTGCGCCTCTAGTAGATTTTCCCTCGCTAGCTGCATCCAAATTGTCGCCGCCGTCAAAAAGAGGCGGTCGGAGAGACGTGATGGTTCCGACTTTTCCATTTTTCATGTTTTTATGGGTGATGTTACAATGCCTTTAGGTTGTCCGATAACCAGGCTGAACCTAGGGGCGAAGTTTTCGAAAAGGTGATCTTAGGTTGTCCGATAACCGGGCTAACCTAAGAACTAATTTAAAGGAGTTCTTATGGAGTCGCCACCGATGTTTTTACCGGAAACATCGAAAAAGGAGGAAAAAGGCGTTGGTTTTTCGAAAAACCAACTTTGATCGTTAAAACCAGAGTTAGGTAAGGGAGTTAGTTACGTGTAAGGGAAGTGTTAGTTCCCTTACGACGCCCCTTTCAGGTTCCCTATGATAGGCCAGCTATTTTATAAATAAACTTTTGAAAAGACATTTTTACCCTTTTATTTAGGAAATTAAAATAACGACTACATGACCCTAATGTCTATTATGCAATTTAAGCATAAAAAAAAGACAGTAAAAGAGAGGGAGAGAATGAAGAAACCTCCAAGGCAAGCTTTTTGATTAATTTTGTTGAAAGTAGGGTGCGTTTTGGCAGCCCTTCGCTCTTACAACGCCGAAAACTCTCTTGAAATGCTATAAAAAGCTCTTTAAAAACTCTCAGAAACTCCGGAAATGCTTCGGAGGGACTCTAGGAAGAGAATTTGAAGAAAGTGTAGAAGGGAAAGTGGAATAACTGTGTGAAATGAAGGGCGGAGCGCTCACTATTTATAGGAATTCGCGCCTGTCAGGTCGAGATGGCCGTCTCGTCTAACAAGGTCGAGACGGCCGTCTCGCCATTTGGGACGGCGGTCTCGACTTGTAAAAGTGGCGAGACCGCCGTCTCGTTTGGCGAGACGGCAGTATCGACTTTTACAGAGACGAGAAGGCCTTCTCGTCAAACGGGAGGGGGGTCTAGCCATTGGCAAGTGGCGAGACGGACGTCTCGCCAAACGAGACGGCGGTCTCGACTTGCATCATTGGCAAGATGGCGGTCCCAAAAAGCGAGACGACGGTCTCGACCCCTGAAGGCGAAAATCCTTATTTTATACAGAAAATCCTTCGTATCCTAATATGGGGCCTAATAGTCTCTCCTAGTGGCTTCTTAGCCTTCATCCATCTTCGAATATGAGGTCTTCTGCTCTTATTTTGAGGCCGGGCAAGATTTGGGGTCTACACGAATCACCGCCGTGTGCCATTCTTGCCAGCCACCGCACCAACTCTAACTAGTGTCGCTAGCACCGACCACGACACCCAACCACCCATCGCAAGTTCCTCCGTGGATCAACCTCGAGGTCACCGCGACACCTGCTGCAGTCACCACCTTTCCTCGCTCTAGTCCACCCCCCTTCCTCGCTCTAGTCCACCCCCCATGGGGCCACTGAGTTCGTCGTGAGCTAAAGGTGAGTCAGGGAGGCCACGGGTCAAGCCTGGTGTTTCATACCATTCTACTTTGATCTGATTTCTTGCATGCACTTTTCTCGAGTCTGGACTATTTTGTTTAATTTTGATGTGTTTTGACTAGATTGAGTTGTTGGATTGAGTATTGATGGTTTCGTTTAGTTTATTTCTGTGTTGAGTGGGTTGGTCCATATTGTTTTGAGGGTCTGAGTTGGGTTTTGTATGATGTGTGTTGTTGTCTGCACTTTGGTGAAAACATACAATTTTATTTTCTTTTCCTGGGCCTATCAAAATTGTGCATTGTGTTTAATTTGACTAATGACATTGATTCTTTTTTTTTTCTGAGTTGTGTTCAACTTTACCGTGCATTGTGTAATTTCAGTTTTAAACATGTCACTAGATCTGTTCAAAATTAAATTTCGTTCGCTAAGGTAGACAATTGTGATTTTTGTCTCTTTTTCTGGCATTTAAAATCAATGATATTTTGCAAATTGTACATGGGAATCAATCATGTTGTGGACATATCCTCAATTTTCTCCTTCAAGCTTACAAAAGAGCACTACCTGTTTATCTTCCATTTTATCTTATACCTACACTTATAATTCATAGAAAAGGACTTTTAAAAAGGTGATCATCTAATAGAAATACCTAGCAACCAATTTACTCTTCACTTGATCCTATGTGTACTTTTAGAAAGCATGTTATATCACGATTTAATTTCTATGAGAGCTATGATAAGTTTTATTATAGATTGTAGTTTACGAAGAGAGTATATTATCAGTGCCATATATGCTAATTTTTTTTCATGAAAATGGTTTTTCTTGGACAATATATTATTCCATCTGATATTTCTCCAAACATTCAACTTTAGCTCGAGAGGAATGCTAGTAGCACACTCTCTAACACACTCTTCATAATTGGTTAAAATTACTGAAAACTACAAAATCAGGATAGAGAGGCATTAAATGAGAAGTATGACCCACTTAAATTTGTGATTTCTAGTAAATTTTTTTGTCAATAATAGTAGTGTAAAAGAGGGTGTTGTTAGCATTCCTCTTAGCACTATATAAGTGTCATGTAAGTATGAAAAATTTAATGAGACTATGTTGTTTTGCTCTTGTTCCTATTATCAAGATGCTTGTGTGTAGGCCTTGCACAATATTAGCCAAGGGTCTTTTTGGGACAGCGAGATCAAGCTTGTTTCTGTCTGTGTATTGCGCTTCTGCTTAGTAAGCATCCAAAAACTAGATCATGCACTACTATATTGTTATTGGTTTTCTTACTGGTAAATTTGGTAGTTGAGTTTGATTTTTCCAATCATGTTGAAGAATGAAATAGCATGCTGCCCATGTGGGATATGAGGGTCAACATGTTTGCATAAAAGTGTCAGTTGAATTGTTTAAGTTTATGTTAAATTCCATCACAAATATATAAAAAGGCTTTGTATGTAGTTCTGATAATAACAAACAGATTCTGATATATAATGGTGAAACAAATACCAGTATCCAATTAATATAACAATTATTCAAAAGATTTTTATCATTTCTATATACACTAATACACATATACACTAATACACCAGCTTCAATTCAAGATATGTGACTATGTTGAGTGTGAAATGAAAACACATGGTTTTAGATACTTGTTTTCTTTCTTATGTTCAATTGTTATTGTCCATGCTCTTAGCGAAGTAATGTAAAAGGTAAAATTGTTAGGTCCAATACCTTGTAATTGGATCCTAAGATCCCCACCACGCTCCGTAGCCCCATGGCTCACATGGGCTTGCTGTGCTCTAAACACTACAATGCTTGCATCACCACCCCACTCCTCGGTTACAGTTGAGAAACATTGTGGAAGGCTTTGATACTAATTGATAAGCATCTTGGGGAAACCACACTACAAAAGCTGGATGCTGTTGTAGTTGAAGAGCCCAAAACCTTATGATCCCCACATTTTCCATACCTTGCAATCAGATCATAACACATTATGTTTTTTCGTTAAATGGTTCATGAGCTTTTTAAAATGCAAAGATTTCTTATATGGAAGTTTCACAAAAGATAGAAGGGTAAAGGGAAGGAAGTGGTTGCTCATCCAATTTGAAGATCTTTGTTAATAAGTAAGTAATTACCTTTGACTTTTCTATATTGAATTTTAAATAATGATTGATTGGCTGGCTATGGATGCCTTGTATTTAGTGAGGATTGGGGGCAGTAAATGTAACATGTAATATGGTTAGTGGAAAGATTGATTTGTTTGATTATTTTTTTCAATTTGTTTGCGTTGATTCAAGATACATATTAGCAATCATCATTTAAAATGGATGAATATTTTATATTATAATTGATGAATATCAATTTATGATGAATATTGAACTGTTATACAGTTATAAGAATATCAATTTCAACAGTTATATAGTTATAATAATTGAACTGTTAAGTTGATGTTAGTCTTGTATCTTCATATATTATTGTCACCACCATCAGAAGAGGCGGTCAGAGCGACGCGATGATTTTATTTGACTAGCGTTTTTAAAAGTGTGGTTCAATGCCTTTAGGTTGTCCGATAACCAGGCTTGACCTAAGGGAAAGGTTTTCGAAAGGTTCGAGGAGTCGCCACCAATGTTTTTACCAGAAACATTGGAAGAGGAAAAAGAAGGCAGTGGTTATTTTAAAGAAAAACCAACTTTGGTCATTACAACCAGAGTTAGGTAAGGGAGTTAGTTACGTGTAGGGAAGGTATTAGCTTCCCTACGACGCCCCTTTCGGGTTCCCTATGATGTATCGTTTTTTTATAAGGAAATAATAACTATAAAATTACGCTTTTACCCTTATTTATTCTTTGTGGAAATTAATTTATTGACTACATGACCCTAAATGACTAATGCATAATGATATTATCTAAAAAGCAATAAAATAGAGAGAGTATAGAGGAACATTCGAAGCAAGCTTTTACAATATGTTCTTGGAAGAGGGTTCTTTTTTGCAAACCCCACGCTCTACAATGATGATCGTTCTGTCTCGTAGCACTCTAGAACGCTTTCTAAGAACTTTGGAAATGCTTCAGAGGGGTCCTAGGAGAGTAATTTGAGAATAGTACAGTAGGAAAAGTTGTAGAAGTGTGTGGAAAGAGTGAGAAAGTCACCCCCTTTTATAGGAATTCGCACCTGTCAAGTCGGGACTGCCGTCTCGCCAAACTAGATGGCGGTCTCACCTTTAGCAAGTGGCAAGAAGGCGGTCTCGCCATTGGCAAGTGGCGATAATGGCGAGACAGTGGTCTCGCCAAACGAGACGGTGGTCTCACCCTTAGCCAATGGCAAGACGATAGTCTCGTCAAATAAGACGGCGATCTCGACCCTTTAGGTGAAATTTCTTATTTTTATGTACAAAAATCCTCCCTATTCTAATATGAGGCCTATTGATCAATCCTAGAGACCTTTGAACGGAAGTCTTCTGCTCTTGATTTTAAGACTGGGTAAGATTTGGGGTATACAGCTGCCCCCGCTTCACCTGACTAACCGAATATTGGCTCAACATGCCAAAAAGATCGGTTGGGGGGGGGGGGGGTGAAGGAGTTAACCCTCTTGCCCGGTTGTCCTTCGATTGTTTTCTTGGTTGTGGTAGCCGACCTTCTGGACTCTGAATGTGATCCTCTGAGATGCTCCTTTGATGCGGTAGTTGACCCCTTCGGTTGATGAGTACAAACCCCCATCTAGTTTAAGCCCCCTTTTGTAAGGCTTGATGAGTACGCACCCGCATCTGGTTTGACGAGTACGAACCCCCGTCTAGTTTAAGCCCCCTTTTGTAAGGCTTGATGAGTACACACCCCCATCTGGTTTGACGAGTATGAACCCCCATCTGGTTTAAGCCCCCTTTTGTAAGGCTTGATGAGTATGCACCCCCATCTGGTTTGACGAGTACGAACCCCTGTCTGGTTGTGAAGTCCACTTTGGAGGACCGCTGTGACTTACTGCTCTGGCTCATGCGCAATGGTTTTGCCTGTGTGCAGGTCTTTGTATCCGGGACCTTCCTTGTCCCGAAGTTGTGGTGGTGTCTTACTGCTCTAGCTCATGCACCGTTTCTTTGTGAGGAGTGTTTTTGCTTGATAGTTTGTTTTTCGACTTTTCTAATGAAGTCTTCCGGTGTGCCGGGGATTTGTTGGTCTTCTTCCAGCTGGTTGAGTGTTGAGAATTCATTGTTTTTGAGCTTTTATAGTGGTCATCCAACTTTGTTGGCTGTCGGGGATTTTTGGTGGGAGTCGTTTACATATGCAGGAATCCGCTGGGGATTTTGTTGATTTTGGTGACGCCTCTGAGCAGGCGGATGCTTCATCGGGAGTGAAGGCTTTCAGTTCATGTTGTTTTCTTGAGGGGAGCTTCATTTGGAGGCTTGCTCTGAGTGCTTCCTGTTTTCAAACGCAAATATGGAGCTAGTCTCCTTATATGTATGAATGCTTTTCATTTTTTGTTATTTATCTGAAGCTATTTTTTTATTTTTTGTTTTTCGATTTTGATAAAGTCTTTTTGTGCAACTACTTGTGTGGATGCCTTAAATGTAATCTAATTTTATTTGATGCATCTAGAAAGTGACTGGCATTCTTCTGTTGATCTTTCATGATTACGCTGATGGGCTCTTCCTTTTATTCATTTTCTTTTTATTAAGCCCTATCTTTTGCCTTGTAGACCCCAAATCTTGCCCGGTCTCATAATAAAGACTAGAAGACCTCCTTTTCGAAGATGGATGAAGCTTAAGAAGCCATTAGGAGAGACTATTAGGCCCCATACTAGGATAGGAAGGGTTTTCTACATTAAAATAAGGATTTTCTCCTTTAGAGGTCGAGACCGCCGTCTCGCCAAACGAGACGGCGGTCTCGCCACTTTTGCAAGGCGAGACGGCCGTCCCGAATTGCGAGACGGTCGTCTCGACCTTGTCAGACGAGACGACCGTCTCAACTTGATAGACGTGAATCCCTATAAATAGTAGCGCTTCCCCCCTTCATTTCACACAGTTCTTCCACTTTCCCTTCTACAACTTCTTCAAATTCTTTCCCTAGAACCCCTTTGAAGCATTTCCGGAGTTTCTGAGAGTTTCTTAGAGATTTTTATAGCGTTTCTGAGAGATTTCCGGCATTGTAAAGACCGAAGGGCTGCCAAAACGCACCCTAATTTTCAAGAAATTAATTAAAGAGTTTGCTTCAGAGGTTTCTTCTTTCTCTCCCTCTCCTTATTGCCTTTACTTTTATGATTAAATTGCGTAATAGATATTAGGGCCATGTAGTCATTACTTTAATTCCGTAAATAAAAGGGTAAAAGCGTCTTTTTACAAAGTTTATTTATTAAATAGCTAGCCTATCATAGGGAACCCGAAAGGGGCGTTGTAAGGGAACTAACACTTCCCTTACACGTAACTAACTCCCTTACCTAAACTCTGATTTTAACGACCAAAGTTGGTTTTCGAAAACCAACGCCTTTTTACTCCTTTTTCGATGTTTCCGGTAAAAACATCGGTGGTGACTCCATAAGAACCCTTCAAAATTAGTTCTTGGGTTAGCCCGGTTATCGGACAATCCAATAACACTTTTTCGAAAACCTCGCCCCTAGGTTCAACCCGGTTATCGGACAACCTAAAGGCGTTGTAACCACACCCATAAAAACACGAAAATTGGAAAGTCGGAACCATCGCATCGCTCTGACCGCCTCGTTTTGACGACGGCGACAGATGGCGACTTCACTGGGGAAGCCTAGAGAGTTGATCCCATTTAGTGATGGGCCAGCTTAAATAAATAAACCAAGAAATTACGCTTTTATCCTACCTTGTATTATAACATGTTTTAATGATTGGCTTTAATAACTGTTGTTTGTTTATATTTACGCAATTGTTTGAAATACAAACTGTACACAAACCCTTGCACACAACAGTTCCCTCTATACCCGGGGGCAAGTGAGAAATCCATAGGGAGTGGGTGGCAGGTACGATTCGCTGTAGTGATGGCCTTGTGCCCACCAGTGTGATCGGAAACCACCACTCAAGGTGATAACCTTCCTCTTTTGGCACAAAGACTGACTATGGCCTTAGTGCTAAGCATGGTTGGAAGGCTGAAGAGTGGGGACCCTATAATGGTGGCACCTTGGGGGCCTTAGCCTTGGTGAGAACAGTTAGAACCTACCTTCGTCAATGCACTTTTCTGCAGGAAAACCCTACCTCGTGATTAAAACGACTTCTCGCCTGTTCGCGGATGACTGAATTGTGTGCGCATTTGTTTGTTGCATAGCATAACCAAATGTAGACCCCTAATTTTGCCCGGCCGCTCAATAAAGGCTAAGAAGACTTTCTATTTGAGGATGAAGCTTCGGTGGACGCCTATCGGCATCAATCGACTTCCGTCTGAGGAAAGGAAAGCTTCCTGGGAGTCCCAGAACACAAAATCTGCCCAAAACACTCGAGACAGTCGTCCCAGAAGCTAGGACAGCCGTCCCAGATAGTCTAGACGACCGCCCCACATGCCAGACGGCCGTCTCACCCAATTTTGACACTTGGGACGGCCGTCCCAGATCCCTGATGGCCGTCCCGACCTCTGCAGACGGCGGTCCCTGTTTTCTGCACCCCAGACCGTCGTCCCGAGCTGCCATGCTGAAAAAACTATATATAGGAGCTCATTTTTGCGTTTTTAGACACACCTCACTCTTCTCTTCTCTCCCTCTTTCAAATGAACTCTCCGATTGCCTATAAGGTAACAATCAATTAAGGAAGTTTCTTCCGGCATTCGATTCTTCTTAAAGTTTTTAGTAGAGTCGGTCCGGTATTCGGGGAGGAGAGTCCTTGTAGTGCGGGGGATTGCCAAAACGCATCCTCACAGTTGAAGATTTATAATAAAAAAGCTTGCTACGGAGGTTCTTTTCACTCCTCTTCTCTTTTATTGCTTTATTTACTGCTTTATGTATGCAATAGAAAATAGAATCATGTAGATAGCCATTTTTTAATATTGTATA